AGTGTTTAGACCATTTACATTTAATTTGATTAGTGATATGTTTAGATTTTAGTTGTTACCTTGTTATTTGTTTTGTAACTATCCCATCTATTTTACCTTCCTTTTTACTTTTTTTCTGCCTTCTTTTGGATTGAGTAAATGCAGTGATTTCCTTTTATCTTCTTCGTTATCCTATTGGCTAAAACACTTTGTTTTATTATACTAATGGTTGCCATAGAGCATACTGTGCACTTCTTTACTGATCACAGCCTGCCTTCAGTTGTTACTCTACTATTTCATGTATTGAGTAAGACCTTTCAACATATTTGTTTTTTCTCCCCTCTTGGGTTTTGTGCTATTGTTGTCAAACATTTTAATTATAAATTTGTTATAAATCCCCTAAAATGTAGCTATTTTTTTTTTGCTTAAATGGTCTAAATACATTCAAATACTAAGAAATAGGTCTTATTTATGCTGTAGTAACAATTTCTAGTGTTTATTCTTTTGTGCAGACACGCATTTCTATCTGGTATTATTTTCCTTTTGCCCAGTGATATTCTTTAACATATTCTGTGGGTGTGCTCCTGATTTCTTCCAGGTTTTCTTGTCTTAAAATATTTTTATTTCATCTTCTTTATAAAAAAAAAAGATATTTTGGGGGCACCTGGGTGACTCAGTTGGTTAAGTGTCGGACTCTTGGTTTCTGCTCAGGGGATGATCTCAGGGTCAGGAGATTGACCCCCATGCCAGCACACACGATCAACACAGAGTCTGCTTGAGATTCTCTCCCTCTCTCTCTGCCCCTCCCCCTGCTCACGTGCTCTCTCTCTCTAAAATAAAATAAATAAAATCTTTAAAAAAAGATTTTCACTAAGTATAAAATTTTATTTGGGGAAGTTTTTAATTTTTGTCAAGAAATTTAAATATGTTGCTTCACTGTTTTCTCACTTGTATTGTTTCCAATAAGAATTCTTTTGCCATCCTACTCATTGATACTGTATAGCAATATGTCATTTCTCTTTAGATGTTTTTATAAAAATTCCACTTTTTTACTCATTTTTAAAAAAATTTGATAATAACAAGTCTTGGTATAGTTTTCTCATGCTTGAGATTTTGGGGTGGTATCTATGGGTTTTTGGTTTTCAGGAAATTTGGAAAATTTTCACCCATTATATTTGCAAATACTCCCTCTCCCTTTTTCAGAGACTCCAATTGCACCATTGTCCAGCTGATCGCCATCTTTTATCTACTTTCTGAGCTCATAGGATATAGTTATAACTGTCCTAACGTCCTTTTCTGCCAATTCTAGCATCTGTGTCAGTTCTGTATTGGTGTCAATTGACTCTTTTCCTCATTTTAGGCTGTACTTTCTTGATAATCTTTGCATGCCTGATAATCTTTGATTGGGAGTTAGATGTTATTAATTTTTCCTTGGTTTTGCTGAATATTTTTGTATTCATATAAATTTCTTTAAATTTGGTTCTGAAATGCAATTAAGTTACTTGCAATCAGGTTTATACTTGGATTTCTTGCTTTTATGATTTGCTAGGCAAATCAAAAGTAGTGCTTAATCCACAGTAAATTATTCTCTACTGAAGCAAGGTTTTCCTGAATTCCTTTTTTTTTTTTTTTAGGTAGGTTTATGCCCAGTATGGAGCCCAACACAGGGCTTGTACTCACAACCCTGAGATCAAGACCTGATCTGAGATCAAGAGTCAGATACTTAACTGACTGAACCACCCAGATGCCCCAAGATTTCCCTGAATTCTAAACTCAATGTCCCATGAGTTTTTCCAGTTTCATTGGTGAGAACAGGCACTATTCCTGACCCAATATGAATGCTAGGCACTGCTGCCATTAATTCTTTCAGGTGGCCCTTTCCTTGGCTTTGAGTAGTTTTTTTCACGCAATTCAGCCTGCTGAAAATTTGAGGGGATCCCTCTTTAGATTTCTGGGGTTTTTCTCTGTGCAGCCTTGAGCACTCAGCATTTGCTAAGCCAAACCTATGGCTAGATGTTTTTAAACAAAATCTCTTCCAGTTTTCTGTGTTCCTTAAACACAGTATAACTTTGCTGACTTCCTTAACACAACAAATCTCTACCTCCCCAGTCAGTCTTAACTTTTCCTCTATACTTCAAACACATCTTGTGTCCACCCCTATTGAGAAACTCAATACCATCTTATAAAAATATCTATTCGCTTGTCTGTCTTCCTTGAAGGGAAAATTATTGATTTGACAATTAGATGTCCCTATTATATAGTAGTAGTTAACAGCATGTATTGTTGGGTAAAGAAGACAGAATTCTCAATCATTTCTGTAACTCAGAGCTAGCAGTGCAGGTCGGGAATCTGGGAGGCTCATGAAAGAAACAGAGGCATACCTGGAAGTTTCAAAGGAGATTCCAGTCAAGTGTCAGTTGTTGTGGGCAAATGAATACATTTCCTCTCCTAGGCTATTGAGGTTTTACAAACGAGTAATATCAAATATTAAATAAATATAATATAGAGTGTTTATGTGGGCTTTTAAATTATGTAGAACAATTTCCAAAAGATCTTTGCTCATAAGGCAAGCTTTTACTTCAAAAACTAGATTATTATGTATAGGGAGGCTAAGGAAGTGTGAGTAGGGCGGTAAGTAGGATTGGAGATTTTTTTTTTTAAGATTTTATTTATTTATTCATGAGAGACAGAGGGAGGGAGAGAGAAGCAGAGGCAGAAGCAGGCTCCCAAGGAGCAGGGAGCCCGGTGCGGGACTTGATGCGGGACTCGATCCCAGGACCCTGGGATCATGACTTGAGCCGAAGGCAGACGCTTAACCATCTGAGCCACCCAGGCGCCCCAGTAGGTTTGGAGATTTTAAAAGCCTTTCCCTTCTGACCATGGCTGTCTCTTAAGGCCTAGACACTCTGCTGTTTATCAGCTCTAGAGAACTGTTGATCATTTTTTGTTTTGTTTTGTTTTGCTTTGTTTTTTTACACATGGGCTGTAATTTTATTTCTTGAAATTTTCTGCTATTTAAAACCCTCTAAAGCTCTTGTCAAAAATTGAATCCATGTCTTTCTCTGATTGACTTATTTCGCTCAGCATAACACCCTCCGGTTCCATCCACAGCATTGCAAAGTATCATATGACGTCACTGATATGAGGAATTCTTAATCTCAGGAAACAAACTGAGGGTTGCTGGAGTGGTGGGGGGGGGAATGGGGTGGCTGGGTGATGGACATTGGGGAGGGTATGTGCTATGGTGAGCGCTGTGAATTGTGTAAGACTGATGAATCACAGATCTGTACCTCTGAAACAAATAATGCAATATATGTTAAGAAAAAAAAAAAAGAAGAGAAGATAGCAGGAGGGGAAAAATGAAGGGGGAGAAATCGGAGTGGGAGACAAACCATGAGAGACTATGGACTCTGAGAAACAAACTGAGGGTTCTAGAGGGGAGGGGGTGGGGGGATGGGTTAGCCTGGTGATGGGTATTAAAGAGGGCCCGTTCTGCATGGAGCACTGGGTGTTATACGCAAACAATGAATCATGGAACACTACATCAAAACCTAATGATGTAATGTATGGTGATTAACATAACATAATTTAAAAAAATTGAATCCATATTGACTCCACTGTTCCCCCTTTGGCCGTTTCTAGTTCTGTGAAACTCTTTTTTTTTTTTTAAAGATTTATTTACTTATTTGAGAGAGAGAGAGAGTGAGAGAGCTGGGGGGAGGGGCAGAGGGAAAGAGAAACTCCAGCAGACTCAAGCAGAGCCCATAGGGCTCGATTTCACGACCCTGAGATCATGACCTGAGCTGAAGCCAAGAGTCGGATGCTTAACCGACTAAGCCACCCAGGCACCCCTTGTTCTCTGTGCTTAGAATATCCTCTCTTTGAAAAGTTGGTCTTGCCTCCCTTTCAAATACTTAGCCCAGATGTGGTTATCTGGCCACCATCTCCCATAAGCATGTCCCTTTTCAGGAAAAAGCTGATGATCATTAAAGTTTGGGCCTCTTGTTTTATGGATGGGCAATAGTCCAGTACTGCATTATGACCTCACTGGAGAGCTATGTGGTTTTTGCCATTCATGGGAAATATCTTCTCTACCTGATTTGGAAAATGAGAACAAATTAAATGGATATAGATTTCAGACAGTTTGAAATCATTTTGTATGGGTTAAGAGAGACTAATCTTCAAATATCTTCTCAATTCAGGATTAAGTGCCAAGCTTCAAGATGCTCATTTGATTGTGGCTGTTTCTCAATGTGTTCAATATCATTAGGTGTGCTTAGTGGCCATTTCTGAAGTAGAAATCCAAACAGGTAATGAGCAACATCCAATTTGCATGTAAGCCAATTTTTTTAGAGAAAAGATTAATTAAAAGAAGTGGTAGGTTAATTTAAATCAAGCAAGGCCAAGCATCTATCCTGAGTTTAAATCCCTGACCCATTTTTATCCTCCTGGATAGAAAATAGGAATCTGCATTGGATAAATACCTCCACCAGGAAAAAATGAGTTAAGAGTCACATTTAGAGCTTTGAACTAAATCTTTCACAATATAACAGATGCTCTTAAATGAAACAAGCTCATTTCACCAAGTGTATTTAATAGCATCAATATTCATGAAGAAGAGTAAGTATGTTTTACAAGTTAGAGGGCTGGGGGCAATGTTGAGAGGTAAGGGCACCCTATAACCTCCTCTCCCTTCACCCATTCACGTATCACACATTTTCTGACTTATGTTTTCACAGGCACATAAATGATTGCAGATATGTAGCCAGGGTGGTCCCAGCAAGAACTGGGGTTCAGCTTGGCAGCACACTTCTGTAGTGATTGTGACAAGCTTTGATAAACAAGCCAGTTGACAACTACATTTATCTTGGAGAAGAGAATAACATCAATGGAAAAGGCACTTTTTTACTCTGTCCATCCAGAAAGTTACCTCTGCACCCAGGACAAAGTTTAATAAGGAGCCTTATGGATGGAAAAAATATTATTTATAGTACCTTTCTGTTTTTCTTCTCTGTCCATAGAGACTGAAGGAATTAAAGCAACGGGAATTTGCTCGAAACGTAGCTTCCAAGTCATGGAAAGATGAGAAGAAACAAGAAAAAGCACTTAAACGGCTCCATCAGCTGGCCGAGTTAAGACAACAGTCTGAATGGTAAGAATTAGAGGTAGCTCAGATGGTTCAAAACTCTCTTCAATCATCGGGGAAATGTCAAAGAAAGATTTACTTGATTCATTGTTACAGTGTAAACAAATTATAATTAATCGAAACATACATTTGAGAGCAAATGGTTCTAGTAGTTAAAGGCTCATAAGTTAGTTCCTTTGGTATCTGACTTTTTTCTTTCCCAATATTGTTAATTTTATGTGCTCTTTAATGAAATGATCTAAGAATGATTCTAATATACTGGCACTTATTCTATCCAGTTGATTTAAATGGACGCATTTAGCTCTTTAGTAATTATTTTAAGTTTTATAATAATAATTTAAAAAACCATAAAGAACAGTGCATCTTTTTGGGGAGGAAATAAATCTGTACGTTTCCCTGCACACACTTGAATCTGAAATAAATAGCACTATCATTGTCCAGGTGACAAAAGAAGATGTAATTAATGCAGTTAAATTTACCACACCATGCCATTTAAATTGATAATTATAACACATGTTATACTAATACATCCTTGTAGCTGAAAAAATAGCTGTTTTACATAAGCTTGGAACTGCCGAATGTTTCAAAGTGAGGAGATTGTTACCTGGAACTCAATTAAATTTGCAGGTTGTGATTTGTGTTCATATGAATCATGATGTAGAACACCTAACGTAGCTAATTAATGCAGTTGACAGCAACCTGGTGAATTGTGAAATTTATAGCCCTGTGTCACAATTGAAACACCTGTTGTTGAAATGAAAAACAAGATGCAAGAAGTTTGGGAATGAATGACTCATATTATTGAGTGTCATAAAATATTAGAGCTCACATTTCATTCTAAGAAAATATTTATTTTAAGGATCAATTTACGAGTAAAAACACAGTATTCACCTTACATATGTCCATGTATTTGTATTTGTACCACTATCTTAGACTAATTTAATTAACTTATCAAAATACATAAAAGATAATCATGCAAAAATTAAGTGAGAAATTTGGTATAAAGAAAAAATAAAGTTTGAAAAAATACGTGTCCAGAGGTGAGGTTAATATAAAAAATGCATGCTCTGAGGTCCTCTACAATCATAGAAACAGGACACACAACTGGTACTGAGCTTTGTACCTGCCAACACACCGAGGATCTTATGCTATTCGAACACACTGTCAATAAGATGCCAGATAGTCCTTGTCAAAACAGGACTCAGAAGAAAAAGTCTAATGATAATTGTGGTAGCATGAAGGAAAAAATCTGAGGAATATGTTAATTCTTGGATGACCTATAATGGTATTATAAGATTTTAAAAAAGAGGCAAACCTCACTATAGAAAGACAACTTTTAGGTAGGTCCTTTAAAAACACACAACAAAAAATCTGAGTAGACTTAATACACATAATTTTGGTTATTTTATTAGTAGAAAGTTATCACACTTCTGCACTTCTACTTACCCATTCCATATTTTCCTCTGGGAGAAATAATGGTGGTGATGGTTATGATGCTTTTGTTTACAAGTGCTGAGTTTACAAAGCTACTCATGAAGTATCTTCCAAATTAAAACAAATTAAAAGATCTACTCAATGGGGGTTGAACTGAAAATCATATTAACTAAAAAAAAACCACATACTTTATAGAATAGACATACTCTCCAGGTTCTTTTTTTTTTTCTTTTCACATTGTTAGGGAAATGATAGGTGTTTAGCTTTCCACATACAAAACTCGGAACCAGGAAAATTATTGCATTCTTTTCTGCTACCTGCCATCTGCCCTCCAGCCAATTGTTCTTTTTGCTTAAGCAGCCTCATGGCCTAAGGGAAGTCACTTAATAGAATTATTTAATATTTCCATCTTGGAAGCTGAATTGAAAAATGAAAGTAAGAAATAAAATGAAAAAGAAAAAAAGATCATCTGTATTACTACCCCCCTCCTGAACAACCTTTCTCTGTCCATTATTCTCATTACAAAGACTTCTAAGTAGGGTGATGCAGATAACAAGAAAATTCTTCTGTGGTCCGTTAGAGAAAAGAGGAGAATTTACTAGTAATAAGAATATTCGAATTAGACTAATGGAAAAAAATGATGCAGAAAACTTGTAATGGATCTTATAAAGGGCAGTCAACTTTGGCCATCTCTTGAGTAATTCAACGCAACCTGGTTCCTCAGCAAGCCTAGTTATTGTATGGAGGTGGAGAGTCATTCTGTTTGTAAATTTCTACTACGTATGAATTTAAGTATAGTGTATATTGATATGGACATTTTTCCAAATTTCAAAAATTATAGGACCATTGACTCTGAGAATATGGAATTTCTTATATAAGAGCTGAATAATGTGGGACATTAGGATATTATATCATTTAAAGAAATTATGTTGTTTTGATATGTCTTGTTTCCTCTTTGGAAAGTATACTTTTTCACAGAAGATAATTAAATTGTGCATGTGTTTAGTTGCCAAGAATTAGAATTTTGGGAGAGCTACTAGAATGGACGATCCATTCATAAGAACGAAGGGGTACCTGTATAGTCACTTTTTTATTATAAATAAAAACAATTGGGTAAAAAATACAGAAAGAAACTAGAGAACGTTCCAGGAAAAGGAGTAAAATCATAAATAAGGTATAACTATAAAAATTAAACCTTTAATTATGTTAAAAGGCATAAAGTTCTATTGAAAGAGTAGAATTGAAAACCACAAAGAGAAAAATAGGATTTTTCCAAAGTAATAAAAATAAACTAGATTTAAGATAAGGGAAATTAAAGTTTAGAAAGCAATGAGATAAAGAGTTTAAAGCATAAACATTAGTGGTAGAAAAGATTAATAATGAGGGTAAAATGCTAAAGCTTTTGAAAAATATAATCATCAATGTGGATTGGATTATAAAGTGAGAACAAGAAGTAAGGACAAGAAGAGCCAAATATAATATGAAAACAAGAGGAAAGAGGATTAAAAATATTTAAAAGAATATAAAAGAAAGATGCTTACACATTAGAGAGATAAATGGTAAAATAAAACAGCAATACAGAAAAGAACATGAAGACTAACATAAATCAGAGCAAGAAAAGACGCAAAACAGTGCCAGGATAATAAGCAAAAATATTATTAAGGGAAAAACAGAGACAGATAATATAAAAATAGTAAAATATCTGAGTCATAATGGAATCATGAGATGCAGAATGATAATATTCATGCACCAGGCTTTTGAAATAATTTCTGCTAAATGCAGATAGTAGCAGATTAATTGACGTTCCTAGAGAAAGTAATTTAGGAGAAGTATAGCTCCTACTTAATCTAAAGTGTCTCTTTGGCCCTGAGGCAAAATCCAGAGCTACAGATGTCTCTGGTCCTCATTCTTCTATCCCCAGACTGCAGGCACTTTAAAAGGCCAATAACTGTAATTAATCTCTGTGCTTTCTATTTCCCTTTATGTTTGAAAGAAATATTTAAAAGCTATCTTAGAGTGTTCCTTCCCTTCCTTTTTTGAGTTTTTATTTAAATTCTAGTTAGTTAACATATAGTGTAGTACTGGTTTCAGCAGTAGAATTTAGTGATTCGTCACGTACATAGAACCCCCAGCGCTCATCATAATACCTGCCCTATCTTAGCGTGTTTCTTCCCATTCTCACATTAAATATGCCTAAATACCCTCTCTAAAAAGCATTTTAAAAATGATCCAAAAAAAAAGGAAGATTAATGTGATGAGCAAGAAGCAAGTTTTCATTATGAAACAGTTACTGGAAATGATCAAAAATTTATTTTCCACGAGACTCAAGGGAACGCTGTAATTCTAAAGCTATAGCCATTAGTTTATGAAGGGGGAACAATCTGAAAGTATTAAAGAGTGAATGGCGGCTGAAAGTATTGTAAATTAAAATCCATATGGGCATAGTAAGTGACTGGTTGGATATTGTAAAAAATGAATTGGTAAAATAGAAATTAAAAGCAAGAAATTCTTTCTGAATGAGAGAAATACACTAAAGACACTAAGGTACTGAGATAAATAAGATCTAAAAGATATATTCAGGAGAGCCAAAACACTTAACATATAAATTCCCAGATGAAAAACTAAGCAGAGAAGAAGCAATAATCAGAGAAATCAGAAGAAACTATAACTGAACTGAAGAAGTTGAATTGAAAGGGCCCAGCAGTACTAGCAAAAATTAACCCAAAGAAATCAATGTGTAACTATGGTCTGGTAAAATGTGATGCATATATACATGTATAATATATAAATAGAATAAAAATAGATCCTAGATAATAAATACAATAAAAATACGTTATAGATTGGAATTATAATAAACGTATATACATAAGTGAAAAGGAAAATTGCAAAATCATACAAGTGCACCAGTGGACTCATTTCAAAAATGAATAAAAGGAGGCTAATTAAGTATTTTTCTACAATATTAAACCTGTAAACACGATGAAGCAAAGTATATGGAATTTGGTGGATAAAAGGAATGTTATTCCAGAGTTCTACACTGATTGGCCAAATGGTCATAAGTGAAGGGAACAAGAAAAACTTCTTAGAGAGGGGCTCAGAAAACACACCTCTCCATTAGAATTGAAGCTACATGTGGAAAAGATATCACTTGTTTTGGTATTGTATACTCAGGTAACAAATGACTGAATAAAAATAAGATAAAAACCTAAACTAGAAAAAAGCAAACAGACACACATCCAAGCATGTAGGAAAAGAAAAGGAAAAAGAAAGCCAAGTCAAAGCAAAAGATCAGATAAATGGTGTGATTTGTGTTGCCCACCCCCCAGGAAGGTCAATGTAGTTTTAAAGTAGAACATTAAAGACACAATTTTAATCTAAAGAGTTTCATCTCTTATGTGTACGGTTGTTCCCAGTTTTCTGGTTGAATTACTAATTTAAACTCCGCAGAATGAATAATCTTTACAAAGCTGTTAAAAGATAAAACATATATATGCATAAAAGGTAGAATGAAAGTATTTTGGTGAGGAAGATGAAAAAGAAAAGATTTCAAAATAATTGAAGCTATGGAGATGGCTATGGAGATGTGTGTTACTTTATTATGCATTTGTTATAATTGGTCAAAATAGTGACCAGTCATGAAGAACTAGCCACACTGTTTCAAAGGGAGACAAACAGGAAGGAATTTTAAAACTGAGGCAACAAAAATTCTAAACTGGTAGCCCTTATACAAAAAGGCAAATGAAATAAATATTTTTATGCTTTGGAAATGACTTTTAATTCCATTTAATTCCTTATTTAATGTGAAGTCACCGATTAAAAACTTTGTGAAAGAATGTTAAATCTATATTCCAAAAAAAATGATAGGTTCTGCAGGACATCTATTGGGATGTAAATGCAACACTTTATTTTCTTTTGCAGCACTAGCGTAAGATATTCACTTGCTATTGCTTCTTGCTAATTTCAAAATTAAAGGAAAAAAGTGAAACAAGATGAAACCAGAGAGGGAGACAAACCATAAGAGACTCTTAATCTCAGGAAACAAACTCAGGATTGCTGGAGTGCAGGGGGGTGGGAGGGATGGGATGGTTGAGTAATGGACATTGGGGAGGGTATGTGCTATGGTGAACACTGTGAATTGCATAAGACTGATGAATCACAAACCTGTACCCCTGAAACAAATAATACATTATATGTCAATAAAAATTAAAAAAAGAACACACTTAAGTGATGCGTTTTAGAAAGCCACTATGAAACATAGGTGTACTGAGTTGTATAAACACAGTGAAATGGTTATATTACAATAGACATAGTTTCATAAAATAGCATAACTCATCATAGAAACCCTAAGAAATGTTCGCATATAGATAAGATTTAAAATCCAATGTCTTAATCATTTAAATATTTATTGTATTTACAGTGTTTCTGGAAATGGACCAGCATACAAAGCTCCCAGGGTAGCCATAGAAAAGCAACTTCAGCAAGGAATTTTCCCAGTTAAGAATGGCAGAAAAGTATCATGCATGAAGAGCACTCTTCTCCTTAAAGGAAAGAATCTGCCCAGAAGCATTTCCGATAAACAGCGGTCCACCATGCAAAACCGACACCAGTTACAAATGGACAGACGTTATTTGTTTGGAAATCGGGTACCACAAGCCTCTTCGGATCTCAGCAATGCAAACCACAGGACAGGAGTATCATTTTCTTTTTCCAAAAAAGTGCATCTGAAATTAGAATCTTCAGCCTCTGTTTTCAGTGAGAACACAGAGGAAACCCACGATTGTAGCAAGTCACCCATCTATAAAGCAAAACAAACTGCGGAGAAATGCAAGTGCCGCAGGTTTGCAAATGAGGATACACATCTCACTAAGGAAAAAGATATAAACATCACCCCAAGCCATCTGGAAAGTGTCTTGCACAATACCTTCTCTATAAGCTCTCAAATCTTGCAAGACAAAGATGACTCTATTGATGAAACACTAGAAGATTCGACTGGCATTCATGCTTCATTCTCTAAATCTGATATTCATCTTTCAGATGTGGATTTTACTCCTTGCAGCAGAGAAAAAGAAACTAGAAGTACAGTGAAGAACACTTCAGAAAACTGCATTCTTCACTCATGCCAAGCAAATCCTTCCTCCAGCCCACCAAATATTTACAAGCACAGTGATGCCAGGATATTTGAATGTCTGGATGAGTTTCCATCACTGGAGCCAAGAAAGCAAAACACCACAGTGCATCTGAATCCCAATTCCAGAATGGAGAAGAGAGAAGAATCTTTAGATGAAACAGAAAGTGTTAGCAGAGATGTACAGAGGCTTGTAAGAGATGCATGTCCCCATGATGTGAAGTCGAAACCATTGCCTTTTCTCCACGTACAAAGTAAGGATGGCCACACCACCCTCCAGTGGCCTACGGAACTTCTGCTCTTCACGAAAACAGAGCCCTGCATCTCTTATGGATGCAACCCATTGTATTTTGATTTTAAGCTTTCTCGGAATGCAAAGAGTGACCATGATTCAGAGGGCCTAAAAACAGAATTGATGAAGGAGCCCTCAGAAATGAAGACAACAATAGAGAGCCAAGTCTCAGGTTTAATTGAAGACCAACAAAAATTGATCCAAGAAGATGATCAATCTCTGAAACCAAAGATGATGATAGCTAATCCAGATTGGGAAAATTTTCAGAGAAAATCTAATTTGGGCTACGATGATTCTGAGCCAAATATGAGTCAACATAATTTTAGTGCAAGTGATTTGGAAATGAAAAATCCTGAAGTGCCTGCTTACCTTGATATCTCTCTAAAGAATTGTGTAGAAAACCACAATAATAGTGATAATGAACTTAAGGAACCTTCAAGGGCCCATTGGCAAAGCTGCCCAAGGGTCATCCTAAATGATGTAAATGAGGGCCTAGCTTTTTCTCCTTGCATCTCGAGGACTAAGAAACCAAAACTGATTCCTTGTGATCCTCATTCAGATTTTGAAGATGGAAATCAGTTCACCTGGAATTCGAGTCCTTACCCAGTAAGGGGTCACAGTGATCACGGGAAGGACGTCAGTGTAATTTTGAATAGTAACCACATCAGCATGGCCAGCAGGGCTTCCGGATGTAGAAACAAGAGAGATTCTCCAAACTTGTCTCTGAATAGACTTTCTAGCCCTTCAGACACGTGCTCTGGCAGTACATCCAGCCTGAGAAGTACTTGTTCAAGTGCTCAGTCCGGGGGTGATGGCAGAGGTAATTTGCTCTTCTTTTGTAAAAGAGAACACAGCTCCATTGAAAGGCACAAAGGGAGAGAGCAAACACACAACTGTCCCTGCCCATCTGAGGAGATGGTCAAGGGTACCTGCCTGCCATCTGAAATACCGAGAGATCAGAACTGCAGATCGTGGGAATCGGCTAAGAATGAAAAACACTCCACTCATAGATACGGCCGCTGCAGACAAAGATCTAAACTGGGCAAAAATCAACAGCAGTTTTCAGGGGCCAAATCCAGGAGAATCCCCTACTATGATTCTAGCTCACAGGTGTCCTGTCCCGGGAACAGTGAAAAGCCACCAAACTGCCAGGGACCTCAGCACGGCAGATGGGGCTCTTACTCAGGAGAGAGTATTTATTGCTTAAATAAAAGTGGGAGAAGTCAAGAGTCTTTGGACAGCCCTCATATTTGTGACCTGGGAAAAGGAAAATCCATGCAGTATAACTCTGGGAACATCAGCTGCCTTCTGAGGAACTGTTCCAGCAGCCCTTCTGAAACCACGGAGTTGACAGAAGGAGAGAGGACTCCCCTGACAGCCAAACGCCTTTTAGAAAGAGTGCAAGCCAAGAGGTGTCAGGAACAATCAACTAATTTTGAGGTCTCTTCAAAGAACCGTAAAAATGAATCAGAGGCTCATTCACAAATTCAATGCACAATTCAGTTCACACCACTGGGCTGTCACCGACAAGCATTGCCCTTGTCTGAAAAAACACAGAACACAAGTAAGAAAGGGAATGATCAAGGCGGGGCGATTCAAAGGACTCTAGAGAAAGACCAAGTCAAAAGTTCACAGACAAATAATGTCACCGTTTTAGGAGATCCTGATTGTGATAACCATCTTTCTAAGGGTCTAATTCATGTAGTAGTGGATTCTCAGTCACCAAACATGAAAAAGAACCCAACAACAAAAGAACAAGTAAAACCTGTAATTAGTGAAGTCCAACAGTTTACTCAAAGCCGTGACCCAGTACCAAATGATTTCCCTGGTGCTTTTTCATCTAACAGATATACCGGTGTTACTGATTCAACAGAGACCAAAGAGTACCAAATAAATCTAGACTTGCGGGATGTGAGCATGCCTATGGATCATGGAGAGGGGGATATAAACTCTTACTCTGACAGAACTATGCATAAGCATGACAAAGTAGAAGATGAATCAGAAGTGTGCCATAAATCAAGCTCGCCCCCTTTAATTCAACAGCCAATCACATTTTCTCCAGAAGAAATGGATAAATACAAGCTCCTACAGCTACAAGCCCAGCAGCACATGCAGAAACAGCTCCTACCGAAGCATCTTCGAGTTTTGCCTGCTTCGGGGCCGGCTGCCTTCTCCCCGGCGTCGGCCATGCAGACGGTCCCCGTTCACCAGCACACATCAATCACCACCATCCACCACACGTTCCTGCAGCATTTTGCTGTTTCTGCTTCCTTAAATTCCCATGGCAGTCCCCTCCCCATAGCTCATCTGCATCCTCTTTCCCAGCCACATTTTACTCCGTTCACGTTTTCCCCTCTGACTCCCACCATCCTCCCGGCGCACCCCACTTTCTTAGCGGGCCATCCCCTGCATTTGGTCACCGCTGCCCCCTTCCACCCACCTCACATCACACTTCAGCCCCTGCCCTCCGCCACATTGATCCCCGCGTTGTTTGGCCCTCACTTAAACCCAGCCACAGCTTCTATCATCCACTTGAACCCTTTAATTCAACCGGTGTTTCAAGGTCAAGATCTTTGCCATCATTCTTGCTCCAGTCAGATGCAACCGTTAAATGGAATGAAAGAGGCCTTAAATGTATCATCAGCGCACTTGAACTAATAGGTGTGAAAGCCCCTCTTGCGGATAAATAAAACACATTGTCACTACCTACAAAAATGATATCTTTAAAGTGGTCTATCTGATTAAGATTTTAAATATTGGTGCCAATTCAAAATGTTTCCAGTATATGAATACGAACTGAATTGCCAATATCAAAATAGGAGCGTTTTAAGAATTTCTTTTAACTCACATAAATAACAGAGCAAATTTAAAATAACTTTGTGGAAAGGTAAAGGGGAATGTGCTAAAGGTGTGTTTGGATGAGTTCTCACATAATGTTATAAAATGGTAACAGAAAACATTTGGGCAGATCACTGATACTACAAAGAAAATCAAACGGAAAATAATATTGTATGTTCTAGGTGTTTGTTGAGTGCGTGAATGAATAGATCACACAATTGGTTTTATGCATCAGATAATAACAAGATCAGTGAAATAAACTGCTTATTAAAAATAATTCCAATGGTTAACTACTAAGCTTTCAATCAATATAATCTGTTTCAATCAAAATAATTTATATTTTCATAGGAAATAAGAGATGGCAAGAAATTTTCTGATTAATTCAAGGTGAAAATTACTCTTTAATGAAAAACAATCTTTACACAGATTGTATCATTGAGTTTCTGTGAAAAGTTGGATTATCTTCTTTTCACACACATCTATGTTAAGACAATTTTGTAATTGTAAGAATCACCAACATCTAAAATTAAGAATATTTAATTTTTGTATAAGAAAACATATATAAGCTATCATTAGTATTTGATAATGCAAAATAAAAAAGTAAAATATACTCAATACCATTTTGAATATATTGCTTAATCTTTCAAACATTACAGGGATTAAAATATTAAGTTTTCTTTATTCTTCTACTCAAGAAATCTTACTGTGTTCAGCCAACATTATGTATAAGGAGAGAGATGAAGGTTTGGAAGTGTCAGAATTTTTACATGATATTTATCGAGAAAATCTTATAAATTATTTTGTGTATTTTACTCAATTGTAATAGATATCAGTAAAACACAGTGAATGGTGATGAATAAAATCACCATTCATGTGATTTTGCAAATGATCTTAAACATTTATTCAAAATGTTTCCTGGCCCACAGAATCCACATTTCTTACATCAGTATTCTAAATGGCTCTCCAGTTAGATTTATTATTTTATATTCATAAAATGAAAGAAAAACTCATATGACTGCACATTTCCTATGAGTTTCAGAGAAAATCAACTAAGTAGAAATGAAGTGATCAGCCATCTACTGCATGTATGATGATGTCAATGCTTCTGTTAAATGAGATGGGCATCTTATTCAGCCTGGGTTTCACAGAGAAGAGAACCATCCTCACTGAAGTCCTATAGTGCATCAGGCAGAGTCAGGCTAAGCACCCGCTCTGTTATTTCACTTAATCTTCACAAATGTATTTTGAGATCAATGTTATCATTCCTCTGTACAGACGAGGAAAATGAAGTTGAAAGGATAAATTCTTAATACTTGGTAAATGATAGGAAAGGATATCTTTGATACTGGGGAGAGAGAGGGAGAGAGACAGATAGGCAGAGACAGAGAAAGGAGATAACATGATTTTGAAACTGTAACATAAAGAAAATATGTAGTTTCCTAGATATCATCAGAAAGTTGCAGGATGGGGATTTTGACTGAGATATGTCAGTAAGAATGTCTAATGTCTGAAAAGAATCAAAAAATGGAGGAAAGGCATCAAAAAGCAAAAATAAAAGCCCTCTATATTTGCATGGAACTTCATAAAAATCATTATAAAAGAACATTAACACTGGGTGAATCCAATAGAAGTGAAATAAACAGAATATTTATTATGAAAAATAAATGACAAATGGACCAGCAGATTAAAAAAAATAATGTGGATGACAATTTCCTGAAATAGATTACACAGTTGATACAGAGCCAAGACAAAGTAATTATGGGAACACACTAAAAGTCCTATTATGAAAAAGAAAGTAGCTGATTAATTTTTATAATTGTCTTTGTGACAATTTAATCTCTCCAAAGTTAGACCAGAGAACCTCTATTGGGCACACCATTTTGACTAACGAGGATAGATTGATATGAGTTGATGGCATGGAAATGACTGTCTTGTATTATCAGTGATGACAGTGTTCACTGGCTATACTATCTTGGACTATGGGAAAGCAGACTTCACCATTTAAATAAGAGATAACTTGTACCATAGAGTGAGAAGTTATAAGTCGTGTCATCACATGAGGAAAGCTACAATTATAAAATATTTCAATGAGGAGAAAAACGGTCCTTTAAACAATCCAATATAAACTGAATGGGGTATTCTTCTACTCAAGAAATCTTACTGTGTTCAGCCAACATTATGTATAAGGAGAGAGATGAAGGTTTGGAAGTGTCAGAATTTTTACATGATATTTATCGAGAAAATCTTATAAATTATTTTGTGTATATTACTCAATTGTAATAGATATCAGTAAAACACAGTGAATGGTGATGAATAAAATCACCATTCATGTGATTTTGCAAATGATCTTAAACATTTATTCAAAATGTTTCCTGGCCCACAGAATCCACATTTCTTACATCAGTATTCTAAATGGCTCTCCAGTTAGATTTATTATTTTATATTCATAAAATGAAAGAAAAACTCATATGACTGCACATTTCCTATGAGTTTCAGAGAAAATCAACTAAGTAGAAATGAAGTGATCAGCCATCTACTGCATGTATGATGATGTCAATGCTTCTGTTAAATGAGATGGGCATCTTATTCAGCCTGGGTTTCACAGAGAAGAGAACCATCCTCACTGAAGTCCTATAGTGCATCAGGCAGAGTCAGGCTAAGCACCCGCTCTGTTATTTCACTTAATCTTCACAAATGTATTTTGAGATCAATGTTATCATTCCTCTGTACAGACGAGGAAAATGAAGTTGAAAGGATAAATTCTTAATACTTGGTAAATGATAGGAAAGGATATCTTTGATACTGGGGAGAGAGAGGGAGAGAGACAGATAGGCAGAGACAGAGAAAGGAGATAACATGATTTTGAAACTGTAACATAAAGAAAATATGTAGTTTCCTAGATATCATCAGAAAGTTGCAGGATGGGGATTTTGACTGAGATATGTCAGTAAGAATGTCTAATGTCTGAAAAGAATCAAAAAATGGAGGAAAGGCATCAAAAAGCAAAAATAAAAGCCCTCTATATTTGCATGGAACTTCATAAAAATCATTATAAAAGAACATTAACACTGGGTGAATCCAATAGAAGTGAAATAAACAGAATATTTATTATGAAAAATAAATGACAAATGGACCAGCAGATTAAAAAAAATAATGTGGATGACAATTTCCTGAAACAGATTACACAGTTGATACAGAGCCAAGACAAAGTAATTATGGGAACACACTAAAAGTCCTATTATGAAAAAGAAAGTAGCTGATTAATTTTTATAATTGTCTTTGTGACAATTTAATCTCTCCAAAGTTAGACCAGAGAACCTCTATTGGGCACATCATTTTGACTAACGAGGATAGATTGATATGAGTTGATGGCATGGAAATGACTGTCTTGTATTATCAGTGATGACAGTGTTCACTGGCTATACTATCTTGGACTATGGGAAAGCAGACTTCACCATTTAAATAAGAGATAACTTGTACCATAGAGTGAGAAGTTATAAGTTGTGTCATCACATGAGGAAAGCTACAATTATAAAATATTTCAATGAGGAGAAAAACGGTCCTTTAAACAATCCAATATAAACTGAATGGGGAAGACATTCAGAGTAATTTTTTAGGCACCATACATCCATGGATCAAAATGAACAGAGATTAGGTTAATGTCTTTTTATATCTCATTTATTGGAAATATCAAAAGAAGTCAATATTTTGTTTCTGCTTGCTGCTTACTGCTGGGGCAGATGATCTAATGAAACAAACAAACAAAAATTGGTAATGTTACCTAAATCTGATTTCATTACAACTTTTCTATTAAGAAGACAGTTTTTCGAACTGGAAATTGTAGAACGATCATGGATAAGGAATTTGGAATCTATAGAGAAAATTATTTCCTGGCTACTACAAATGATGTGAATCTTCAGGTTTAAGAGACTTTTACCAGAGAGTATTAGAATTGCTTAAAGAGAGCATCATGGTATCAATTGTCCTTGAGAAAACAAGCAGAATCTAAGAGGAGCTAGAATAAATATCTTTACTTTTATAAAGGGAGGAGCTAGCATAAATATCTTTACTTTTATAAAGGGAGGAATGTTGAATACAGATATTACTGATTTAAAAGTTAGCATATACATAAATAAAATGTTAAGCAGAATGCCTAATGAAAAGGAAGAGACAATCACTGGTAACTATTAAGAACAAATAGTACAAAAATAAAAATATTTTATTTCTCATTTGTCCACTCTATTTTCATTCTTATTCAACAAATATATATTTAGGGCCATATGCTAGGCAGTAATCTAACTGCTGGAGATAAAATAATGATCAAAACTAACAAAAATAATGTCAAATAGTTTAATTCTACTTGAGTCATGCAAACAAAAACCAGAATAGACAAGTGAAATATGTATTATGCCAGATGATCATAAATGCTACTGAGGAAAATAAGAAAGGCAGATAAAGGGACTTGGGTGAGGTAGTGGGTAAAGCACTATTTTAAAAAGAGTAGTCAGGGGAAGTTTCACTGTGAAAGTATATTTTCAGCAAAGACCCAAGAAAGGGAGCATTTCAGACTAAGATAAGACCAAGTTTCAACAACCTGTTGGGTGTGCTTACTATGCTCAAGAAATGGCAGGGAAACACTGGCTGTGAAAGATCAGGGCGAGTATTATAGGAGATAAGGTCAGAGATATAACTGTGGAGCAAAATCATGTAGGATCTTGTCCACCATTGGAATGACTGGCTTTTATTGTGAGATGAGAAGCTCCTGGAGAATTTTGGCAGAGGGGAAACGTGATTTGTCTTGGATTTTTACCAGGGCCACTCAGCTATTGCTTGTGAATAATTTCCAGGAGAGTCAAGGTTGAGGTGGGGAGGCTGATTAGTAGATTGGAAGCAGACAAGAGAATGCAATGACGTGCTCAGCCATAGTCTGGTGGGAATGTTGAGAAGTGCTGAGATTCTAGATTTATTTTGGCAGTAGGGCTGGGAAAACGTGCTTCATATTGAGTGTAAGGTGTAAGACAAAGAGAGGAATTAGAAATGACAATAGTTTTTGCACAAGGATGGATTTACTGCTCACTGAAATGGGGAACACTGTGGGAGGGGCAGGATAGAAGAGGGTCAGTTTAAATACTCTGTTGGAGATGCCTAAAGTTATACAAGTGGAAATATTGAGTTGGTATTTGGAAATATGGGTCTGAAGTTTGAGTAGAGATGTGAAAAGGACATACACTTGGGAATCATCAACGTATAGTAAGTATATAGAAGCCATTACCTTGGATACTATCATCAGGGGTAGGTAGGGTAGATGTAAGTTTTGTAGACTGAGTCCTGGGTCACTCCAAGAATGGATGTAACAGAAGGAACTACGAAATGAGGCCATGATGAAATTATGTAGGAAAAAATCAGGACAATGAGACCATGGTGAAATTTCAAGTTACATAGGAAAATGTCAGGACTATATAAGGCAAATT